AAGCTAGCCTCCAGAAGGAAATAATAACTTCCATTAGGGCCACATGGCCACCAATGACATCAAGCCCACCTTCTAGACTTACAGAGGCTGAGCTTCACTGAAATGTAAGACTGTCAGAGTCCAAGGAGACAAAATGAGTCCTCCTAGACAAAGTGAATTTGAGAAATAGGAAGAAGGGCTCTATGACCAGTAAGCTATACTCAAGCTAGGGATAGAAAGAAGTTTTTCTATGACAATTGTGATCAATTGGTAGTGGTTGCTCAGAGTAGTATAAGAAGGAATGTGAGGTCCAAACTGGGCTTGATGAGAGAATATGCCCATACTCGACAGAAAATAGTTATTATTGGTAAAGGCAGGGAAAATGGCAGCACAGTGCCATGGCTGACCCACGCTGGTCTTTCAGTAGAGGTTGGTTAATAAATCTATATTCCAGACACCAATGGCAGATTGAACAAACCTTTTACTTTCTCTCCCTCATGAAAGCCCAATAAAATAACAATAAAGGGATATTTTTTCTTTACTGTAAAAACCTATAGAGATGGGGAGAATGAGAGAAGAGACAAAAGTTAAAACATTTTGGTGGAGTGAAGGGAAGCCGAGAAACAACGTGATTTATACCACAGAATCTCCAAAATGCTAAATATTTAAAGGCAATTGGACCCTCTATGGGGTGAAGGGTGAACTAAAATAAAGAAGATTGAAAACCTCTTTAAAAAGCAGTTGGATCTCACAGATCCCTTCAGCTCTGCTGAGCGGTTAAAGTGACTGTCCCCTCCCTACTCCAGCAAAAACAACTGAAATTTCTTCCCCACCTCCTTCCCCAGAGAGGGTAAAAAAAGAAAGGGTCTCTGGATTGGGGTACATGATGCCCAGCTCAAGTGTTTTCCTGAAACACCGTGGAGGGGTTATATGAACATGCAGATGCTGAGACTTCCAGCCTTCTCTTCCACCTACTTCCTAAATCGCTGGCAGCCAGGCTCTCCCCCACAGTCCAGGAAAAAGACTGGAAGAGCCTTTTCTGAGGACTCTCATCAGCCCAAGACAGAAGGACATCAGCGGTTCCCCAAATAACAGACCCAGCCAGATCACCCTACAGTGAAGTTCCCAGTCTACAAGCCCATGCACATCTTCAGCCTTTTTACCCCCGACTCAAATGTGAGCAGACAACCAAGGGTATTAGAAACACAAGGAAAGTCTCTGACGTGAAGGAGGGAACTAAAAAAATAAACAGATGAAAGGAACTTGGGGAAACTGAGTCTGTGCAGGAAGGAAAACGCTTTCAAAAAAAATAAACTCCTCAGAGAGATAACGGAAGACACTGAAAACAAAAGCAAGAAAGAACTAGATACACCACACACAAATAAATATATATGTAAATATCAGAGAACAAAAAGAGCTTTTAAGTTAAAATATTAAAAATATGATTATACTCATAAAAAACTCAGTCAAGTAGTAGATGATAAAATTGAGAAACTCTCCCTAAAAGTAGAACCAAGAAATAGAGATAGATATTATGAAAGAAAAGGTAAGAAAAGTAGGAGCCCAGACTAAAATATCTTAGATCTAAATGATAAGTGCTTCCAAAAGAGACATCACAGATAACAGAGAGGAGGAACTTACTAAGATAAATCAAGAAAATCTCCCAAACTCAAGTATGTCAGTTTCCAGATTCAAAGAGCCCAGCACAAGGGATGAAAGCAGACCCATACCAAAGCCTGGCATCATGAAATTCAGGATTATGAAGGCCAAGAGAAAATTCTATAAACCCCAGATAGAACTCAGTAGGTTTGTAACCTGTACACAGGTTATAAACAAAAATTGAGGAATCAGAACAGTTCTGAATTTTTCAATGGCAACACCACAAGCTGGAAGGCAATGGAAAAATGCCTCCAAAATTTCCATACTACAATTCTATGCTCAGCCAAACTATCAATTGTAAATGGAAAATAGATATTTTCAGGCATTCGTTGTCTCAAAACAGAAGATAAATGATGAGGATCCCCAGGATAATGACAAAGGGAGGTCCTTGGGGTGGGTGACAACTATGCCCCATGACTAGAGGGCAACCAGTCTAGCTTAGAGTCAGCCAGGAGGCTTGGGGATGGCTTCTTCCATAAAATGAAGTTGACAGAATACCTGATGCATCTGAGGAGAGATTTAGAAAACTGGCCAAGAGTTTTGGGTTGAATTAATGATGAGTACATTAAAAAAAAACAAAAAACAAAAAAACTAAGCATATGAACAAACAAAGCAATTATTAACTCCATAGAAAACAAAAAGTTGTGCTTGGCTTAGCTATGAATATTGAATTACTATTTAACTATTGTGAAAATGGGAGAATAAGGAAGCTGTGGTTGTGTTGAGGGTTAGAGGTAAAAAGAGAGCCAAGTCACTGTCTTCCACATCATCTTCCAGTCATCTCCATGACTTGCGTTATGGGAAGTCAACAAACAGATAATGCTCCAAACTGAAAAACTCAAGTACCAACGGCACAATAAATACCAAAATAACCAGCTCGAAGACTTAAAAGTGGTTGTTTCTAAAGAGAGAGAAATATAACTAGGATAAAAGTTTAAAACTAAAAAACAGAACAAAACAAAAGACACATTCGTTTCTATGCCCACACATCTTACTTTTATTTGCTTTTTCTTTGTTTCCCTAATAACTATTTGTTTGGGAAAATTCCATCCTTGTTTCCTCTAAACCAAAGAAAATGTAATTTTCCACATCTAGACCACAGTAGCTGAGCTCTGAGTTCTGAGCAGTCAAACATGGTGGTAAAGTTAAAGTTACAATCTAGTCAATGGAAGGTCTTGTTGAACTAGGGCAGAAACAAAAAGGCAAGCTCAGGTTGAGGCAAGTTTGGAGATGAAGGCAACAACTAAGCCCCTCTCCTCTGGGGTTCCTTCCAACAAAGCTGTTCTCATAGCATAATCATATGGTGCAGGGTAATTTTACTGTTGCCAGTAACTATGGACCAATTTCATTCCTTTCTCACAGATGTGAATGTCCAACTTGTGACCCTAATCCAACCAAGGCAGCTGGCCTCCAGAGCAGTTCATTTGGGTTCAACTTGAGTTACTCACTTTGCCTGTGTAGACTGGATAAGAGGAGGGCATAGTAAGTTACCTGAAACAAGTGACACTGTCATCAATAGACATTTACTGAACATCTACTGGGAACCCAGCTCCAGGCTGAGGGTGAAAACGCCTGTTCAACTGGGTGAACCAAGTCCCCCTGCCCTGAACAATAAGGTGACTCTCCCTAGGGGTGAGAATCCTGGGAGGGGTGGAGTGGGGTGAAAGCCAAGAAACTGGAAGAGCTGGGGTGTGGAGGGGAGGCACCAACTGGGTCAACCTGGAGGAACCTGTAGGCAGAGGTGTGTTTGGAGGCCCAGGCCCAGACTCCCAACACTCTGGATGCCCAGAGGAAGGCGGGGAGACCAACGATTCTTCCCCAAGCGTAAAAGTGACCAGATACTGCTCACAAGCCCTCATTGTCACAGGCCAACTTCAGGGAGCTAAAGTCACTGCTCTCTGAGTTTTACCATGCTGTGATAAAGCATAACCCCTACCCCTGAGTAGAACTAGCTGCTGAGAAAACATAATGACTATCTTGATCTTGATACAGAATATACATTAGTATTCTATACTTTTTCCTATTTGACAAGATGTGAAAATTTTAGTTCAAGGACCTATCTGGGACAAAGGTATTGCCAACTAGAGCACAACACTGATTTGCATGTGTTTACAACACTTGCGCTATACAATTCCACAAATCGAAATGTACATATCCTTGTAAGAGTCAAGATCATTAGCATACTGCAGTAAGCATCATGAGTTGGCAAGAGTAGTTAATACTGGTCAGATTAACTGGAGCATATGAAATGTATAGGTCTTTCCTAGACACTGAAAATGTAACTAAACTAAAAAATACCTTCAAATACATGAGAAAATTACACACTTTTCTTTTCTCCATATAAATCATAACATTCCATACTACATGTGATTCTTGCCGACTAAGGAGGCTACTAGTGTCACAAATTAATCTGTTAAATCCTAAACTTATTTGGGCAACCCACTGGTTTAAGGGGTTGTTTTTTCCTCCCCAGATCTTTAAGGAAAAATCTTCTGGAAAAGAGTAAATTCTCAGCATTTCCTAAGAGGAAAAATGGGCACTCGCTGGAAAAATATAGGTTATATGCTCAAAACATAGCTAGTTTGGAACCTTCAAACCCACTTAGCCACCAGCCTTCCTGTTGTTCCAAGTTAACATTGAGATCAACTCTTCTAATCGAACATACCAGTTTCCAACCAAATGCAGTAGATGAAACTATTTCCAAACTTAATTTAGGGTCCGAGAAAAAGTGCACACTCCTGAGTCAAAGCCCTAGTTGTTCTGATACATGAATTCACCGAATCCGTTTCCAAGATTCAAGTACAACTTCCCAATTTAAAAAAAAAAAAAAAAAAGTGAGGTTGCTGGAGTGAGGCACTCAGACACGTGCAACTGTGGAATGTCTGCGTGGATTCTGCCAACTTTCAATCAAGCCATTGCTGTTGCCCAAGTAGACAGGAGGAATCTACCTACCCTCCCGCGCAGCTGGAAAGTGAACCCAATGCTGAACTTGCCGAGGAGCGGCCTTGGCCCCGAGACCCAAGTGGAAAAGTGGCGGATGCGCCCCCGAGAGGCCAGCTCCGGAGCCCGGGAGGCAGAGAGAGAAGCGGCGGCCGCCCGAACCGCACCGCCACGCCGAGACGCGCACCTGTCCCTTCTTCCCGGACCGGAGGAGGGGCCGCGGTCCCTCACTGGCGTAGCGCGCCGCGCTCATCGCAGCGCAGAAGGGAGAAAAATCCTTCCTCGTTCCACGAGGGTCAGTCTCTGGTCAGTCTCTAAGCAGGTGAAAGCCACCTCTCACCGCGCACATTCCTGTCCGGACCCTTCCGCGCCTGAAGTCCCGCAGTCCCCGGGGTGCCCCTGTCTGCCCACGGTTCCCTTACCTGGCTGGAGCGCGCCGGCTGCGCGGAGCGGGAGAAAATGCAAACTCCGAACCGCGCCGCTGAGTCCAGAACTCGGCGCCGGCCAGCCCCGCCCACGATCATCCCGCCCGCCCTGTCCCCCTATCGCTCCGCCCCGTCCCCGGATCGCTCCGCCTTCGCTCACGAAGGCTGGAGGCGACCGGTTCCCAGTACCCTGTCAAGACTTTGAGACAAGAGGCCTGAGTGGGTCAGAGACGCGCCCCGGCTCCCACAGCTGAGCCGGCGTCCCGGGGAAGTCGCAAGGGCGTCCTTTGTGTTCCCGGAGGCAACTCT